TAGCGTCATATTTTATAGCTTTCATTTTAGAAAGCAATCGGTGCCATCGTAACTCACAGCCACAAATCCAAAATATCTAACAAACAACCAGGGGGAAGGAGGGAGTCGGCTGGAAGTCCAATAAACATGCAGACACGATCATAACCCAGGAGTACAGTAGCCCACTGATATGAGGTCGGACTGTCTTCTAGTGTGAACGCACCCCGTATTAAAATCTCCATTCTGCGATAAATGAGCAGGTTGGAAAATGTTTTGTGCCCTCGAGATACAGACGACTAGCGAATCGCCAAAGATCTCATCTAAAAGAAATATGAGCTTTTTAATGCGTTTTTAATTTGGTTTCTATGATGCTGCAGATTAAAACAAGACTAATGAAAGCTCTGAGACAAAAACAAAACAGAAGTAGTAAACACAGAGCAGGGCGCATTAGTGAACTGGCCGCAGCTGTGAAATCAATCATCCCGCTAGAAAACTATAATTTACTGGTATATTAGAGTAGAAACAGCTCCCAGATCTCAACGTTGCCATGGTAAAGTGTTTCAAATGCCTGCTTCGCCTCATTACTGGATTGTAAATATCATAAAACTATCTGTACAGTAGGGGAGTGGTGTGTGTGCCAAAATATTCATAAAGTCTTCTGACTGATGGGCGTTCTGTTCTGCCTCTATCAGTTATAAATGAGAACATTTTGTTTTCAAGTCTCGCTCTGCACAAAGTGGTGACCAGAGATGCACTGATCCATCTCAATAGTGATATCACGATCACAATATTTGGCAAACGATACAATTCAATACGATTCGATGCACTTTTAAATTTTCTGAAAGATTTTAGAACAACAAAGTGATTTTCGCGACATTTTGTGTTTCTTAGACTTGGATTTAATTAACTGAAAACTGATTAAAAGCACCAACTATACAATACCTGACTGATTGGACAGAGTCCAACAGTCCCCAGCTGGACACAATGAATCAACGATGCAGTGTAAAAATGTGTTTGTCATTTTATTTATGTGGATTTGAAATAAAACTCAAAGTTTCAACAATGATCTGGGAGCTGAGTGAGGAGATGATCAGCCTCTGTCAATATGCCAATGATTCCACTTATGTTTTTCTTGTGGACATACAGTGGCTTCATTTTGGAGTAAAAAGAAATTTTTTTGGACTACAGGGAAAAGGCTATTCTACCTTAGCTCCCAGAGTTAGCCATGGCTGTAAGCTGTTTACTACTAGCTGCTGGGGGAGTGGCTCTGCCTCACCCCGTAGTGATTGACTTCTTGCAGCTGCCCAGCGCCGCCATTCCCCTGCTTGGATCTCTGAGTAACTGCCTCAGTGTGTGATACTCTTTGTCAGTTGCTAATAAGAATGATCGATCCGCCATCATGGCAATCTTCACTGCACCAACACTGCAGTTGCAGGTTTCCCGTCTTTGTTTTCCAGCTCAAAACAGAGCGCCACTGCATGCTGCGTGTTAATTCTTCAGGTAATCCTTCATATACAGAACAGGAATCACTAAGCTAAAAACAAATTACAAAGTGGACACCACTAGTCCCTCCGAGATCCAAACTTTGCATTAATTTCACAATCTCACTGCTTTTGCCGCTACGCCGTTCGCACCACTACTCCGTTCTGCTTAGCAACAAAACATCTTTCGTTGAAGATTTGAAATTTCCAAAAAACAAAGGAATCTAATGTTGCATTTTGTTTTTTATGTTTGGAAGCTCATCCCATTTCACATCACCGGAAAAATTATGTGAAACTTTTCTGGTAAATGCCAAAATGTTTTTGACATTTCTCTGACATTTGGAAAAATATGGTTTATTTATTTTAGCATAATTCCAGTTTTAACACAAATTAAAAACTGGTGTGAAGTTTATAATATGCACTTTAAGCACAAGTTGAAAGTGGGGGAGGCGGAGTCTTACTGCTATGCCGTCACAAACCAGACATGTTAAAAAGACACTATAAGCTTATGGACCCCTAAGGTTTAACGTATCGAGACTTGGATGAAAAAGAAGTTGATGTAGAAAATAAAGTGAGTTTTGGAAGTGGAAGCTCAGTGAGGAACAAGGAAGATTTGCTGAAATCTGGGTTTTCTGCAGCCATGGGGGTCACAAGAGCTGATCGTAGTAAAACGAGGCACAGCATGGCAGAGTCTCTCTGCACTGCAGCTTTTCACCTCATGCACAAAGACACTTGGCCTGCTGCTTAAAAGCAAGACTTTAATGGATTTCTGGGAAGTTTCTGGTTATTGTTTGTCTAAATGCACCAACATGAAGATCAGGGGAATGCATGGAAATTATTTCTGAGTCGTAATAGTAAAGCAGAAGTTTAGGTTTGTCTGTCATGACAGAACCGATAAAAAACAAACTGTCATCTCCACTGTTCCAGAAGATTTCTTAGAAAATGTCCAAACAGCCACCTCATGCAAAATGATTTAAATATAAAATAAGTAAAACAGCTGGCTAAGCCAGAGTTTATTGCAAAATGGCTGAAGACAGTTCTGCATTTTTTGAGCTCAGTTATCGGAATAACTGGACAACTGGGAATACAGTACCTAGAAACAACAGGTTGTGGCCAACGTTTCATCTCATGTTTAGTCATTTAAATCGGAGAATTTAGCTTTATTCCTTCTTTCTGTTACGAATAAGCTTGTATTTGAAGATGTTTATATTAAAATGAGGTTGTTTTTTGTTTTTGTTTTTTCACAAAAAATGTATTCTTTGTCCAACTTAATATCTGAGGCCAAAAAAAAGGGATGTGATAAATTTGTATTACTATAGCACTACATGGGCTTTTCTGCAATAAATACTATATATAATAAATCCAGCTGCAGGTAAATCATTTTAGAAATCGATTGATCTAAGTATTAGTCTGGAAAAAAAATTGGCACATTCCACAGATTTTTCATTTTTCCATTTAAAACTATTGACACAATAAAATGTACTAAATGTTTGCAAATTAGATAACTAAATTCCTTTTTACATTTCATTGCCTAAACTTTAAATACAGCATTCTGTTAGTGAAGCCTTAATCATTTGTAGCAAAGGATACATATGTAGCACCTGTTTACTTAACAGATTAAAATATTTGCTAATTTGCATATTTTAATGCATTTCTAATATTGTATAGAAAGGTTTATGTCGTTAATATAAAAATATGCAGAATGTGCACATTTTCTTATCTGAATTGATTAATTTTCAGAATAATTCTTAACTGCAGCCCTACAAATGCCTGATCCTGCTGTAATCTTAGGCATTTATAGTTTTCTAAGGAGCTCACACCTTTTCTGGACAAAAGAAATTCCCAAGTATTACTGACTTATTAAAAGAAATCCATCTTGCATGCATGTCCAGACCAAAACAGAGAGGATGGAGGAGATGAAACTGAACACAACTGACAGAAATTAAATGAGTGTTAAGCCTGACGAAGAGGGAGAGAGAGAGGAGACGAAGATGGAGCCAGGGACAATTAACACAGCCTGTTCTCATGGGGCAGGCTGGGGTGGGGTAGGGTGGATGTGTGTGTGTGAAGTGTAAGTGAACCAAGCGCAAGCCTGCAGGGTGGCTGTGGTCCCCTGGTAAGGCACACAGCCGGTCATCTGTGAACAGAGGCGCTGTGCTCTGTGGTGGAGAGGCGGCGCTTCCACCTGGCCGGCTTCAGGAAGCAGCAGACATGATGCTAGCAGAACAAGCCGCCCACACGAAGCCCTCACAGCAGCAGCATCACAAATCAACCGCTTGGTTTCAAAGAAAGCCCCTCTGGAGACGACAAGAACCGTGGCTGGAGACGGACCCGTCACCTTTTTGGGTTCAGGTCCGACACCAACGCTCAAACATCTGCTGATCCTGATGCTTTCCACCGCAGCTCCATTTATTTGGATTCTACAGCCATGCTTTTGGTGGAAAACTACACAGATAAATCACATGCGCAGCCAGCTGTGGCTCTAGTGCCACATTATTTGCTTCAAATCAGAAAAGCATCAGACAAATTTTATTTGGATCATATCTATGTAGTCATTTGATGATCAACCCTCAAATGTGTCTGATGAAGGCCATCCTGAGCAAACACCACCCTGCCACAGAGACTCAGCCCATAGAAATAAAATGACCTGCATCCATTTAGAGACATGAGACTGATACATTTTCATGTCCCATTCTGCTACATTTTGGCTGTGAGTTTAAACTTCCACTATGAAACGCTACAAAATTCCAGACAATAAGTATTTACAGTACGCTCACCATTTATTGGCCAATCTATTGAAGATAAGTAAATGTTTCATAAATTAATTCCTCTCTCTTAAACTAAATTATTGACAGTTGATTTCAGTTTTTTAATTATTGTTTTGACAGGTTTTCTGAAAATAAAATTTCAAAAATGTCTCCTAGGTGGTTTACTTGAATAAGAGGAAATGCCATTCCTTGCATTTTGAGGAATGGCTAAGCTAACCAGCACCATAAAATCATACTGACAGAATAAAGAATAAGGAAATGGAAAATGTTAGAGGTGCACATTAAAATGAACCCCGAGGAGTTTCAAGAGGTGAATAAAAACAGTCATTTCCTGTCCACTACATAAATGCATTTAAACCGTGTTAGTGTAAGAAAGATTTTTAGTTCTTAAAGTCTTTACAGTGGCATCCCCAGAAAGTTTAGAGAAATGTATAAAAATAAAAATAGTAATTTTACCCACACACACACATTTCATTATTCTGTTTAAGTTTACTTTTATAAATTTCTTTAATTGTTTATTGGATTCTACATGTATGTCTTGATTGAAGATGATTATGACCTTCATATGAAGTGACAATGTAGTTACAATAATAGAAGCTAATAAAACATTACAGTGGATGGGACCTCATGCTGATTTAATATTAAAGGATTTACAGTAAAAAAAATCATCACAGTGAGAGGAGAGATCATAGACTGGAAACATGGAGGAGAGGACACGGAATGATGCTAGGTGTGAAAAAGCTTTACTCCCTTTAAAAGAGGTGAGACTTACCAATTTTCTGGTTGAAAATTTTGTCAAAAGTGAGTTCGTCCCTTTCCTCCAGGTACTTCTGCATTACACTGCGAATACTGTAAAAAACAAACAAATAAAAAAAAAGTCAGTTATTAAAGCATTGACATGCCTCCTCCAGCTTCCTCAGAGATCCTGACCCAGGTTTCAAGCCTCCCAGCCAGCCAGCCAGCCAGCCGTTCCCCACAGGGAGGAACTGCAGGGAGGGAACAGGGACACATGGGAGGCTTCTGAAGGACCTGGAGAGATACAAGCTATCCTGGGACCGGGTGTTAATGAGAATAAGCCCAAGGAGAATGAATCAATTAACACCCTTCCTCATAGGCCCATTAACACTTTATCAGCAGCCTGCACACAGAAAACACACAGCGGCAGGCTGAACACAAAATCATCTGGATGCCGACGGCCATTTGGGTTTCTCAACCAATTTAACATCGAAATTTCAGGTGACGATATTTTGGACATCTGAAATGACTTTTGGACTATTCTAATGATTTACTTTCTAAAAGAAACCACACAGATGTAAAGAGGACACATTTGATTGATTCTTTTTGATGAAGTAAATGGTTCTGAAACTTTTCCTGTTGATCACCATCGGCCTGTCACTAATCAATTAATCAATTAATTGCATGATAAATTCAAACAAGCTCAATAATTTGTATTGGCAAGATTTTTCATTTTTCTCTTTCTGCCTAAAACTGGATGATAGTCTTCAGTTTGGTGATTTGGTTTCAACTAGCCCTTTTTTTGAAGGACAACTTTGTTTACAGACACTTTAGAATTCATTTTATTTACCATTTCTCTATTGTTTATTTATTTTGGATACTTAAAAGGTCTTGCAGTTTCAGTGTTAAATGTTCAACAGAATTTGAAGCTTACTGATATTTGAGAATGTGTTCTTGCATTATTATTCAATTACTATACGACTTGAAAATAGTGTCAAGACAACAATATTATTGTTTATTGCAATACTGCTGGACAAGTTATCAAAATTTGTTATCGTGACAGGTCTAGATTACCACCTAAGAAAATACACAACTTCAGAATAACAAGCCAGCCTTCTGCTTCATGTCACTTTGGTGTCAGCTACCAAGTTTTCATTACAAATGTGTTTCCTATCAGAAAAAGGGCTTTTTAAGTACATTTATTTTCAAAATGTCTCATTGTACAAAGATATGATCAATGGAAACTGCACTGGAAAAACAGCGTTGAATTAACTTAAAGCATTTCTTTTGTTAAACACCGACACAAATGTACTCAATTGCAAATGTATTTAATAACTCTGCATCAGTATCGCACACTGTGCACCACTAGTTTCAGAATCTTCTTCAAACATGCAAAAAAACAAAACTTTCATTTGTTCTGTTAGTGCCGTTTTAAATATAACAGCCAATCTTAAATAAATAATTAATTAACTGAAACTGACCAAAACAATAGGTTGCCTACCTTGGTGAAACATAAAAACAATAAACTGCAACAACCCTTCTCTCAAGAGGTCCAGAAACTTATTTTGTCAAATACAATGTTTTTGAATAGGTTGTGATTAACTAAAGCCCTGCAAAAATGCTAAATAAGTTACAGCACCACAAATAAAAATGCAAAAGTAGCTTTAGGCATTAAGCTGTCCATTTTCTTCTGATAAGTTGATTTTCACTTTTTTTGACAGAACTCGCCAACTGTTCAGAAATGGATCTCAAGACTTGAAATTCAGTCAAATTTAAGACGAGCAAAGACTCAAAACCTGACTTTGTGGTCAATACAGACTCGACTGAGTCAAGCCCTGAGAACAGAGTGCCGAGCCGTCTTTATCTGGACTCATCAGGGTGAAGATAAGCTGCTAAGTAAGCCACAGGCTGAAGCTCAGGAAGTGATGTGCATGTTCTCCCGTGAGCTTGATTTAGCACACAAGACAGGATCTAACAAAGGTTTATAACAACCTGTTTATGTCAGCCGTGGAACCCAAAAGGGCAGCACTTCATCAGGAACAAGCCATCATGATACTGACGTTGGACAGTCCAACACATGTACAGCACAACAGTAATTTCAATTTGTTATAATTAGCGCATGATTTACAACTCTTCAAGTTGTGTGGGTTGTACAGGTGCAAAGGTTCAGCAAAAGGTGGAAAAGGATGATGACTGAGGAAAATGTGGATCAATCAAAATTAGGCCTGTCATAATAATCAATAAATCAATCGCATGATAAATTAAAACAAACTCAATTTCAATTTGTGTGATTTATCTTTTTTTTTCCTCTTTCTTTCTACCAGAAACTGGACAAAAGTTTTTGATCGAATGTTTTGGTCTCAACTAGAGCATTTTCTGAAAGACATATTCCAGTGTTAAATGTTCATTAGAATCTTAAGTTTATTGATGTTTGAGGATGTGTTCTAGTATTATTATACCATTATAACAATGGTATATAACAGTATATTGCATACCATTATAAAATGGTCTCAATGCAACATTATGGTTTATCGCAATAACTTCTGGACAATTTATCGTCCAGTAAAATTTGTTACGGTGACACGCTTAATCATAATTGTTATTGTTAGCAATATTTACTGGGGCTGAAATGACTCATTGAATGATTTGATTTCGCAGACTATTAAAATTCCTTAAAGTAAATTATCTGTATCAACGCTTCGTTAAATTATGTTTAAAAGTATAGCGCACTGTGTTCCAAACAGATGATTATTTGTGTTGCACAACGCTCTCACTTCCACCACTGAACTGTTATTGAGGAGTGCAAAGAGCCTTTAGCAGCTATGGAGGGAGACGGATACAAAAAGTGTCAAAAGTGATGGATCACTTTAAACTGGCTACCAACAGGTCACGTCTTTGTTCCCTTTGAAAAAGACCAACTTTTTAATCTGTGACTCTTAGAACAGAATTTGGAATGAAAAATATGTAGAAAGAAATACATTTAAGCTAACATGACATTCCTGATCAAGAAAAGTAATGACAAAAACAAAGTATTTTTGTCAAAAAAAGTTTCTACACTTCATATAGAGACTGAAAGTGATATTTGATATACATTGCATTTTCAGAAGTAAAAAGGAAGCCTTCTTTTTAATACTAAGGCTGCACATATGGCTGAAAAAAGTGTCACAATATAATTGTCTATATTTATAATTATTCATTTGTTTTTGTTAAAATAACTGAAATACTGCCAAACTGATCACATCACCTTTCCTGTTTTATCCACATTTTTCTCTGCATATTTTAAGCAGTTGTGAAGCACGGTGACAAACTGCTGCACAAGTTACTCAACAGGTTGTTTCTGGGTAACTTAAGAATGAGTTAGTTAGTTGATGTCACCAAACTAGCTTAGCTTGACATGAGCGCTTGAGCAGCAAAAGCCTTTCCTCTGCCAACATATTCCTGAATCCTGAGCGGCTCTCGAATGGAGTTCAGTGAAATTATTGAATACTCCATCAGATGTAGTATCTCCGGATATTGATCATGTGTCAATCACAATATACAATGTTATTGATTTCTTGTGCAGCTTTACTTTTTTAACAAGCATTTTATTTTGTACATTTCCTTTACTAGGTTAAGTAGTTGCAAAAAAAAAAAAAAAAAAAAAAAAAACGACCTTTTTTTCCTTTCAATCACTTGGTAAGCTCCAGCAATCAAGCTTTCCACCGCCCGGGTCACCATTTGGTGCCATGGGTCAGACTTTGTGTTTTGTTTTCAATATTTATGCCATCATGAATCCAGAGAAGTGATGATCAGTCAAGATTCAGCACTATGAGCAACCAGAGAAGCATATGACTGATAGAGGTTTTATTTTTCAGCATGGGAATGACCCCCATCAAACAACCTACCAATGCATTGAAAGTCAGACATAAAAAAATAAAAATAAAAACCACACACAATGGAGCACTGTGAGTCATGGATCGGTCTCCCTGGAGTCTGGACCGTAACATTATTAAAGCAGTGTGGGTTCATCTCGACAGCAAAGCAAACAAAAGGCCGCCAACATCAAAAGATCTTTGAAATGTTCTTCAACAAGTGTCCACAACGATTTCCTAAAGCTACTGGTAGAAAAATAAAACAAAACGTTCCATAAACAACAGAGAGCAAGACTGAAAGAAACAAATGTGGTCATTATCGCCACCATTAGCTGGAATCTTTTCTTTATACTTTAGATATTTGAAATAAAATGTTCCAACACAGGAGGCCTGAGCAGAACTGTGTTCCATACTAGGGCTGCAACCAACATTTAATTTAGAAATCAATTATTCTGTCGATTATTCGATTATGAAAAATTGACAGTCGGCAAATTTTTCATTTCACCACCAAAATACTTCAATGGCTTTTTTGAATAAAATAAACATTGTATTGCCTAAAATACAATAAAACGTTCAGTGAATAATCAGTCATTTGTACCAAGAGATCCATCAGCAGCTACAAAGAAAATAATATATGAAAATACAGTGCAGGGCTGATCTGGTGATTAATTTTTGGATTAACTGATTAAAAATTGTATAGTAAAAAGATTCTTCACAAGACTTTTTTGTACAGAATTTGAACCAGGTGAAGCTAAAATGCCACTAGAGAATTTCTAGACAGACATAATTTACCAAAAAAGGTTTGTCATAAATTCAAAATGTTTTTTTCTTATTATATAATTTTGGCTTACTGCTCTAAGTAGGTTACAATTTCAGTAAATTACCTTTTCCAGTCTGTTTATTCCAGTTAATGCTCTATTCCTAAATTGATAGATTATAATTTAAATAATTAATCAATCAGGATTAATCCAATTAATCATTTCATCCGTAATTTTAACACAACAAGGCATGACTTTGTTGCTATATGACAGAAGACCCCAGCTAGTGGTGGTGATGACACAGATGGGTACAACCTTTTTGGTGAATACTATGCAACATTTCAGCCTCAGCCACAGCTGCTGAAACAAGAACTGAGGAAGTAGACACTTCCTCTTCAGACACGGCCTTCTTGTCCCGTTGAATCACTAGCAGCTGACTAGATTATTTGTTTAAAACTAAATCCCGCATACCACAAAGACGGATAACATTTCCCGTTAAAAGTCG